TTTTTTTAATGTCTTGGTTCCTTATTGATCATCCCCGTGAAAATACATCTGCATATGCTGATAATTGTCTTCAGTAAGCTCAGACTGTTCTTACTGTCAGGTCTCTTGATTGTTAAATAAAAATTCTGATGTAACATACTTCTGTTTGCTGACTTCATCTTTAGGTTAGTTTTGAGTCACATTTCTCAAACTTTAGTTCACTTCTGGCACTGTAGAAATAATGTAGACGTACAAAGTGACATACTAACATCTTTTCTTTGATAAATGTGTCTGAAGAACACAGTTTTATTTACAGATATACTGTCGGGCTCCTACAGCATTCTGTGTGAAGGATAGGAAGCTAGATGCTTGCTGTTCAATTCCCAGTCCCAGTTCTTTACTACTTTCTTTTCTATTTCATAGTTAGGTTTGGTTCCTGTAAGAGTTGATTCTGTTCAAAAGCACACTTCTGCTTTTAAGTTCTTGCTAGGCCCTGAAATATTTTAGAGCAATAACAGTTTGGTATCTTCTAGAATGAAAAGTATGGAAATCCCACCATTTCTTTAAGAAGTCTTTTCTATTCCTTGCTGTTTGTGCTGAAAACAACTCTGGCATGTAGTTTAAACTTTCTTTGCTGCAATTAAACCTAACGATGTGCTGTACTTAAACTAACAGGAATGAGAACAAGTTTTCTTCCCTTCACAGATACCTGAAACTATGTAAAGCCTGTCTCTTTCATCTCTTTTAAATGCTTAGTTCTCCTACTTAGTGATTCTGATTATTGGAAAAAATAATGGAGTATGACATGCCTTATAGTGGTCTTACCTGAGTAGGCCCATATCCTTCTAGAGAGCTGGTATTCAAAACTGGCCATACAATCTAAGTTAAGGGCTCAGGCCAAATAAATAAGACTTCAGTTAGTATGTGTACCTCCTGTGTAAGAGGAGTATTGCGAGTTTGACACCTTTGCAAGGTTTTTAACTTCTGTTTATATTCTCCTCTGTGGAATTGCAGTCAGCTACTCATTCCATGTTTTGTACTCGTGCAGCTGATTATTGCTACCAGAGTGTAATACTTCATGCTTATCCTTATTGAATTGCATCCTTTTTATTTCAGACCATTGCTCCAATTGGGCAAGATCTTCCTGAATTCTATTCCTGCAGCTTGCAGATCATCTGCAGGTATAAAGATAGTCTGTACTTCACTGTCCAAGTCATGGATTAAAGTGTCCCATAACACATTTGGAGGAGACCCCTGGAGAGCTCTGTTTGCATCCTTCCACTCTTCCACTGAACCACTGGAGAGCCACGTGTACAAAGTAGTCATCCATGGTGGACCTGCTTTGTATAAGCCATGTTCTTATCAAAACGTCATGGCATTAAAAGTGCAACTACTTTTATAACACATCTTTATCACATCTTCTGTGTTTTTTCTATATGAGGCCCATTCATTTTTCTCAGAAGGAATTCTTGTCTGATATAAGATTCTGAAAGGCCATCCATGTTGGCTTGCTGCTGTCTAGGTAAAAACAAATAGGTGGTTCTGCTTTGCTTTGATTTTCCTCTGAGACATTGAGTACAGGTTATGGGATGTCTGATCAGATATTTTCATGTTCTTCAAAGACAGGTGCTTAGGCCTTTTTAATCTTCTGGATCATTCCTGTTCTCAAAGTCAATGAAAATAATAGTGATACTGAGAGAGAACTGTCTGAGGTGGTCTAGTGTGAATTTTTTACTTTTCCACCTTGGGGTAAAAAAAAAAGTATGATATTCTTCACAGGTTCCTCTTCTTGTTGCTTTTAATTGCTGATGTTGATCAGTACTTTGAAGGCTGAAGCACAACTTCGGCTGTGTCGGGAACAATGATGTTACTATTCCTCCTTCAAAGGTACTAGTTACAAAAAAGGCAACTGTGCAGCAACCTCTGCATGCTGAGCTGATACCCATCACTTCCAAAGCCTGTATTGTTTTTCAAACTAAAAGGCGTCTATCTGTGTACTTGAAAATTTGTCAGCTTTCATGGGCATGGTTTCTAGCGAAGCAGAGCTCTCTGGAATTTGTGTTTGGCATATGCTGATTAATGGCAGTGAGAGGATACTCTCTTGAATATGAGGTGAGACCTTGGATGTGGTTTAGATTTCCCTTTTAAAGGGAAAACTTACGAAAGTATTTGGAGAACTGAACTTTGGTCAAATATCTGTTGCAGGAAAACTGTTGTCAGAAACCATAACATTGGAGTGTGTTGTGAATATTGACATTTGTGAGCTTCTGAAGGAAATAAGTATGGTATGAGTTGTAGGACTTCTTTAGAGACACGGAGGCAGTTTTTACCCATCAAGATACAGTTTAGATGTGCTAACCTAGTTGCCTGTCATAGTGTCTGGGACTGGAAATAAGCCTCTCTGTCCTTTGGGAATACCTGTTCTCCTCTCTCATCAGAGTTGGAGGAGGGGAAGCACCTGGTGTACCTCCTGTAGAGCAGGAGGTGGGCTTTCACTTCCTGGCTTGGCATGCAGTTTCTGGCTGGCTCTTTGCTCCCTGTGTCAGTCTGCCATCAACTGGGACTGTCACTTGACCTGTGGGACCTGGCCATCTGGTGGGGAGGGCACCAGAGGAATCTGCTTTTCTGATCATGGCTGTCCCTACATTCAGTTTGGGCGGTGTCAGAAGGACTTCTGCTGTTTCAGTCATGATGCAGCCCCAGCAGGCTACATTATACTACTTCTGTAAGCTGTTTTCTCAATTATTCTGTGAACTGAAACAATTTTTTAGTAGTTCTCAAATCTTTTACTGTTTGTGGTTAAAAATAGATACCTCAACAGTTTGAAACTCAATCATAATAGTTCAGACCTGCACATAAGGCATTATTCATGTTACCTCTATGGATCTGCTTTTCCTGTTCAGGTAGCATCCTTTCTCTTCCCCCCGATTAATATCTTGCTAAAATATAGCTATCTAGTAGAAAATGTTCTTTTAATTATATGAAGTAATGCAAAAGCTGTTTCAACAACAGTGGGTACAAAATGAGCAAAACTTTCATACCTTTCCAGATACTTGCTTAAGAATAGCACAAGAATATATAGCATATAGGGTATCAGTATAAAAATAGACAGTATTAAATACATGCCATGTGCTTATAAACCACAACTTCTTATATCTAACAATAGAACAGGGTTTTATATGCTGCAAGTAAGTTTATCTTGGAACTTAAATAACTTTCTATTTACAGACACATTCTGAGAAGGAGAATTTTACATACTCCTCACAACTGAATTCGAAGAGCTTGGGCCTTGTCCTTCCCTTCCACAAAGGAACATTCCCTTGATCTGCAGATGCCAATTGCTTTCCATATGCTAGGTCCCTACATCACTCAGATGTCCTTTAGCTATTGTGTTGCTCTTCCTAAAATTAGTTGTATTGAGTTGTCACTCAAGTGTGCAATACTTCTAAAAGCATAAGTAGTACCAACATAGGAGTATATTTATCAGTTTGGTCAAACAACTTCTGTAGCAGGTTTTAAGCTAAATTCCAGACTCTCAATGATTATTTTATTTTTTTTTTTTGTCTTTTTGAAGGCTAGAGTGGTGAAGGTGGAAGGGGGAGTGACAAGCACTTCAAACAAGTCATTCCTGATCACTGCCAATGCACAAACAATGCACAAACCCTTGCAAGGTTTTTGGTATACACGTACCATGGGAATTGGATGACTTCAGATAGTGTTTTGTTATGGCTTGTGTGTTTTGGAATTTTTTGTTCTATGATTTCAACTATACAGTAATTGTACTTGAATGGAAGTATTAAATAGCTTGAAGACAGTTTTAAGAAGTGTATTTGCCATAAACTTAGAAAAGGGATGGACACCTGTGCTTCTAACTTTGGCATAAGCATTTAATTTTAAAACCGTATCTAAAAGGAACTTGAACTAATACTAGCTTTTCTGAAGATGTTTCAGCGAAGCTGTTCCATCCTTCTCTAGGACTGGTATAACTATACCAACGTAAGGATGAACTGCAGTATTGATAAAAGGAGTTTTTAAGCTTAAGTATAATGCTCTCATACAGCCACTAGCAGTAGAGAATTTTGACTTTGTGCTTCACCCGATATCTTGTAAATGATAAGTGTTCAGATGAGACTTTGGAGAATTAAGTTCTTCAAATTGCACTCTTGGTATGTTGCCAGCTGTGGGGCAAGTGTGCGCTGTACAAGGAAGGTCGGGCTGTCTCAGGGGTCTGGCCCTGATGGCAGAATTTGTGCTGTGGTGTCCAGTTCTCAGCAAGGTTGCTGGAGCCTGTGCTGAAGGCTTGTGACACCCAGGGTGGTAGCTATAGCCTTCTGACTGACTGCTTGGCAAAGCACCGCAAACAACAGTTGCCTTGTTGCAGATAAAGAAGAGGACACGTGAGGATAATGGACAACCGCTTACAGAATTAGGGATATTTTAGATTCCACTTTTCCATTTTAACTTGATCTGGTTTTCAGTTGTAACTTAATCTGTCAGTTGTAACTTAATCTGTCATAGCTTGAATGTGGCATATTTAGCTCTGACCTCTAGGTTCCCTTGGAGAACGTGTGTGTATAAAGTAGGGTGTAAAGTAGAATAGAAATACTGAGTACTATTTGCGGAGATTTTTTGTGAATTACAAGTGTGGAAGGTATCTTTTGAATTTTGGTATGTATGTAGCATTAGGGTGGTAAATGGCCTACCTCTGCAAAATTGTCAGTATGACATAAGATGTTTCATTAATGGCTTTGCAGTTGTCTTTTTACAGTAGAAGCTTGAAATAGCATGAAAATCCATAGGGCTCAAGGATTACTTTCTCTTCTCGAATCAGTGTGTCCTTAATGGAAACCCATAGAAGCAATAAGGTCTTTAGTCATTAAACTATTCTTCAGGCATTCTGTGAAGTCTGTAAATTTAATCTGTCTGGACAAATAATTTACTTTGTAATGCAGGTTGCATAAGAGAGTGTTTTTATTACATACCCATTTTCAATATGTTTGTTTGATTCTTGGATCTCATAGGAATCCGTCAACTGCATTCTACCAAGCGTTCCATTTCAACAAGTTACGCGAGTCAAAGACCTTCTGGGATAGGTATGAATACTTAACTATGGAATGCATACATGCTGAGGTATGCATGAACAGCTTCGCTCTATGCAAGTTTCTTGTAATTTTTGTTTGCACAGAACTGCTGCTTGTGTTTAGAACTTCATACTGGGCTTCTGCAGCCTGAAGATCTAAAAGTAGTCATGGAAGTGAAGTATTCGTACTTAATACTAAATAAGTCTAAAATACATGACATGGCATTTTTTCCTTCCTCCTTCCATTATGCATGTACCATACATAATGTGTAAGCTGAAAGAGTTTAATGCTAGTCAGCTACTAGCTGACCATCACTAAAATATTTACAGCTTCCTTTTCCAAAAAAAGGGAACTTTTTGGCATTGTGGCTACTGAGTCCTATATCAGAAAACAAGTTGTGTAAGTGTTATATTTAAACACAATTTTGGCAAAGTTAAAAATGTGTTTGGTCTCAAAACCAGGAAAGGAAGCTTTCTGGCTTTCATTCTGCTTAGATGGGGAGCAAACATGAACCGTGTCAAGATATGATGGCAAAGTAAATCTACTAAGTTAGCATTGAACTCATGGTGAGAAACTGCAGTGAAATGCAACAAAGTCATATCTGTCACAGATATGACTTTTTTTTATGCAGTTTCTGTCTCAGGTATGACTTGTCAGAGATGCATTACTAATTCATCAGTAGCTGCAAACTGTTTCTTTCCTGCACTTTTATGATTTTGAAGGGATTTTTTGTCAGCATTAAGTTGAAGTCCTGGTGATTATGTGGCTTCATGCCTTGTGATGCTCTGGCTTGTCACAATACGTCTGCTTAACAAGTACTGTAGAATATAAATTTTGTTTGGCTACTGAAGTATTGATAACTTTATTTCATCATTGTACTGGCTGTGTTTGACTTGAGGCTTTTCAACTTGCAAAGCTTAACTGAATCCTTTAAAGTTTGCTTGGCAACAATTTGTATACTGTACAACACGGATGGTTAAAAATGCTATCGCATCCTGCTTTTTTTCTTTAATTGCTGAAGTGCTAGCATTAGGTTAAGTTTCAAAAGCACATCTTCCTTTTGTAGTAGAAACCTGGACAAATTTGCATTTTTGCTTTAAGCTCTGGATGATGCCACTTTCCTGTATTTGTGGGACAGAGTTGGTATTTAGGTTCCAAGGACTTCACTATTTAACTGAAACAAATTTCAGGTCTTTGACTACAAGTTTGGTATGTAGACCAAAAGCTCACTTTAAGGTTTTGGCTTTATCTGTTTCTCTATTTTCACGTATTAACTTAAAATATTTCTTAAGATGAGTAAGCTGATTACAAACAAACACCCTAAAATCAAATAATTAGTGATTAAGGCTTCACATATCTGAAGTTTATGCACAATGTCTGTAATAAGTACTGGAGGCATGGGGTATAGAAAAACATTAAATTCAGGCAGAAGAATGTAAATGGCTTCCTTGAAAATAGTCTTGCCTCTTTGCTGTTGAACAGTCTGTGGTAAAAACAAGTATTTGTAAAAACCTAAAATCAAATTCATGAGGACTGATAGAAATTTTAAAATTCTGTTCCATCCAAATTCTGAAGTCTTTGATGGGGTTTAACAGGTTTTGCATTTATACCCCAGTTACTAGATTTTCTTAAGATGATGTTAGATAGTTTTGCTTTGCTAGACGACTGAAGCTGAAAAGCTTTTGCCAGTAATCTTCCAGTGAAACATAATGGAGGGAGCTCTAAGGGCATAGCCAGTATAGTGCATTCTTGCAGGGTTGAGGTATGGTGAAGCTCAGTTATGCAGCTCTGCCAGCCAATGCATGTCCCGGCAGCAGCAGGACAGGAGGCTGATGGCACCCGCGTAGCTCCAAGCTGCGTAGGCAGGGTGGCCTCTAATGCAGGTGGGGATCTGCTGTCAGACTTGAGTACTTTGATAACTATAAGATGGTTTGGGGTTTTTTTGTGATCCCCAGTTTTTGAAAGAGAAATCTCTGCTGTGAAAATTACAAGCTTGTCTCATTTCCTCAAAATACCTTTGTTTCCCCATCACAAAATGTGGGGGTTAACACACTGAAATATAAGGATCTTAAGTCTGCTGGCAGTAGACTCTTAATTATGTTTTGCAGCTTCTTCAGAAGTAGTTTGTGAACCTCAGGGGCTTGAGTTAGGAGACTTTAGTGTAAACATAATAGAAAATCCTCCTCTGAAACTTCACTTTTTTTTTTTTTTTCTTCTAACAAACATGGATTGTTCTCCTGTAAGCAGACATCTCTTGAGACCATTTGAAGTCAGCAGAGTGAACCACATGCTACTGCAGTAGACAGTAGAAGATTGCTAAATTGCTCCAGTGAAATAGACTTGTTTATTTTTCACTTGTTTGGGTTTGGGGTTTTTTTTCAGGGCTGGTAATATTCAATCCACTACATACTAGTGAAATACTGGTTGTTACTGTTATGTATGCAGGGAGCCTGAAGTTGTTTTCTGCATAGTGTTCACATAGGTGTTGCTAAGGGCACAGGTCTCATGGGTGTCTTCTCATATGGCACATTACTGAGAAGATTATGAAGGGGAACAATGGCTTCTTGGCATATTCACATGGGTCTGGGTGACTGCTCTTCTGTGCCAGGGTTGCCTTTGGACGGTAATAGCACCATAAGAGCTTTAGAAGGGGTTTGCCTAAAATACAGACTTCATTGGTAAATTTGAATTAAAAGCAGTAGCTGCCAAACACTTGTGTTTTAGCAATATTACAGCTTGTTGATGTTACTTAAGCATCTTTCCAATAATATCTTGTCATACTCCTGGGATGTCATATCTCCACAGGAAAAACTTTTGCAGCAATGAAGTCAGAATTATACCAAGGCTTTTAAGAAATGTGGTGCATTACTGGAAGTGTGATTACTATATATTGCATAGCATGCACTTAGACTTAGAAGTTCTCTTCCCATTTTCTTAATCTGTATGTACATGATTGTCCAGGACATTTCTTTCAGTTTGTTTGAAAGGCATTTTTTTGTTTGAAACAAAAAAATTACAGTTAAGGCATTGGATATACAGTGGATGGAGCACCCACAGAATGTATCAAACTCTGTTGAGTTACAACATCCAAAAAGACTTATTTCACAGATTACTTCTTTTCTTCTCCTGGCTTTTTCATAAGGACTGGACTGAATCTATAAATTTCATTCTACAGCCATGGGATAAATTCTTTTTATGCAAACTGGGATTTGATATCAAGAGCTAAGGTTTTGAATAAAAGACAAAATCTTAAGGTTTGGCAGCATATGTGGCCTGTACCGTAAGAACAGCTAGCACTGGAGTACTCTGCTTCTGAATGTCTCACAGGAGCTGTTTGCTGTGGGGAGCACTATAAAATGAATGAAGGACAGAATCATTTGGGAATTATGCTAGCATAAAATCTAATTCTCATATGCTTTTAGAAAGTGAAATGAAATGGTTAGATGTGGTTTTATCCTGATGATGAACTGGAGGCCACTTTGTCAGGGAGGAGCTTCTACTGGACAGGTGACAGTCTGCATGGTCCTGGGCTCTGCCTGCTGGAGATGCATAGCGGGGACACTGGGGTTTGTGCAGGGAGCAGGTCTGGAATCCCAACTCAGTGCATCAGTAAGAGCACAAGCCGCTCTGGGGATAAGGACAACAAAAATAATGAAACAAATAAAAGTAGTATATAAACTACTTACAGCTTTCAGCACTATCCATTAGTATTATGTTAAGTGTAAAATATGGGTGGGAGAACGATAGCTTCTCTGGCTGCATTCAGATCACACTTATGGGGAGTGGCAGTTCTTATACCCACATAGTGAAAACTGTGCTCTGTTAAAAGGCAGACAAGAATTTGGAGCACAGGGTACAGCATGGGAAAGGTACTTCTGCAGCATGCTATGCAGGTACAAGTGTTTTGGGTGATCAAGGAAAAGACTGCCTATCTTCTACTTGAGAGGCATTCTTACGGAACTGATGGAACACCCTGACTTTGGTGTAGGTGAGCTTTGTTTTTTAAATAATCAAACTACAAAATAGTTGATACAGGAATAGAAGAACAAAGCCCCAGTCTCAAATTTAATTAGAAGAGTATGGACAAAAGGTGTATCATTATGCTGTAAAGATGCAGTAGATCCCACTTTGAAGTATGCTGTTAGCTTTAATTTTCCTCCCCTTTATCTCTTCAGAGCTGCCTCACCTGACTTAGGGTGGTGTTCGTGAAAGGCTGGGGCATGGAGCAGTCTTGGAGATTTTGATGACTCTTGAACACAGACGTTTTTGACAGTTTCACATAGATCTGAAACATGTTAAGGTGGAAAAGAATACTTAACCTTGTAATGAGTTAGAAATAGTTTTTAATCTGAGGAGGTTTACTACAAATATGGCTTGATAAAGGCTTAGTAGACAGCAAGATATTGGAACAATTTTCTTGTGAAATGGGTGTTTAGCACTTCTGATTTAGACTGCAAGCTTTGTTCAGTTTCAAACTAGAGGCTGTTACTTCTGCAGTCTGAAAAGCTCATTCCTTCTACTTCTAAATGCTTGGTGCTAGGTACTGACAATTCTTGTGAGTCTTGTTTGGATGGCTTTGTCTAAATAGTCTCACATTCTTTTAATAGTTGAGCTTTCTTTCTTGTATATAACTAATAATGCTGAGCATATTGCCAGTACTCATTTTAGAAAGCCTTAAGTAGCTTTTTTTCTTAACACTTGGTTTTGGTGAGTGTTACGTATTTTCAGAGAGGTGAGTTTCCAAGCATGACTGGAAACCTTGCGTTTTTCCTGGACGTTAACTTTTTCAAACATAGCTGCACACTGCTGATAGCAACTTCCATCGCTGGGGGAGCATTATCAGTAGTTATCACTGGTGGGGCTGGTAAATAGCCCAGGAACTGCTGCCTTGTGTCAGACACGGCACTGTGGAGTAAAATTGGACCACTGAGGCCTGGTGTGGGCAGGCAAACTTGGAGCATATGGGACCTGTGTGTGGATGGTGCATTCTGTGGCTGCTGTGGGGGGATTCCTTTGCTGCAGTGCTGGCTGCCCTGTCTGACCTCCTGGGGAGAGCTGCAGCTCCCCTCCAGAGAGATCAGAGTCTGCCAGAGCACAGGGACACCCAAAATTCCAACTTGAGAGCTACATGTGAGCAAACTGGCTTGTGTTCCTGTACTGGGACTTGAAAACAGACCACATATATTAAGGTCTGGATTGCAGTAACCTGGGATTTAAAGATGTAGTTCAGCATCTTCTTTTGCACAGTAAATATACACTCTTATAGTGATGACTGAGATGTTCAGTTGGACTGACCTGCATTAATGTCTTTAGACAAGACTGACCCTAACTGTAACCCGCAAACTGCGGTGCTTTTCTTAGAAGTGGTAAGTGATCCAGGGAGTTAATTATTTAAAACGAGTCCATCTGCTCATGGAGTTCAGGGCTTTGGTCATGTCTTACTCATCTATTGACTGCTGCCACTCGCTCAGAAATACAATGCTGAGCCAGAAACTTTTTTAACTGGAAAGTAGTCTTCAAGTAAAGCCAGCGAACAAACATAACAGTTTTTGGGTTTTTTCTCAATCTTTATAAAAGCAATTTAGCATAAATAAAACTAGAGGTAAGGACCCCATGAATATCCCATGAAATCCCAGTTTTCTCCAGTGAAGAAAGCTGAGTGATGAGGCAAGAAATCCAAGGAGTTACTTTAGTGTTTATTCTAATGCATTTTTCTGGTTATGGGTGTCATAAGCATAGTTTGAGGAATAATAAACTGAAGGAGCCGTGTCTCTGAAGTGTTCTAACTGTACGAGGCAATACAGTGGGGTACACCCACCGACTCCCCATTTCAGTGCATACTGAATTCTTGAATCTGAAGCTTTAGTCTTCCAGTGACAGCATCTTCTAAGGAGTCCTGCGGGTGCCAGTGAGTGCATAGTTTTAACTGAATGATACAGTAACGCTCACAAAGTTTTCTCCTTATGTTTACAGTGCATCTGGTGCAAGTGTTGTGGCCATTGACAACAAAATAGAACAGGCAATGGTAAGTAAAAAATAAGTAATTTCTAATAGGATTAGTGATTTGTCACTGAGCTTAAGTTTCCAGCTGTATTGTGTTTCTGTGAGTTTGTAACATCCCTTCAGTCGGGTCAGACTGAAACCATCACTTGAAAAAAGGATGTTCTGTTCAACTATGGGTTGCCCATAAACCATGATTGCCTTTACTGCTGGCCCAGAAATATTCTTAAATTAATTTTCCTACGAATTTCTGTGAACAAGCTGATTGAACTTAAAGGTGCATTTAGGTCTCTTACTTCAGCGAAGTTCATTACTAGTTTGTCTTAATCATCAGTTATGCTATCCCATCCTTGACATTTTGTTCATCTTTGGTTACATCTGTTCTATTTTTTGCTTCTGCTGATTTAAAGGTTTTCTTATTTCCTGCTTTTTGTATACCTCAGTGCTTGGGATTGTGTAACACAGACTCCTCCCTCCAGGTCAAAGCTTCAGAGTTGATGCTTTCACTCTGAGTAGCTGGAACATAATTCTAGTCCTTGTCTTCAGTGTAACCAGGGTGACTAGAACTTAATGCTGAATGCTGAAAACAAAGCTTTTGATGTAAGGGCCACTTTACAGTGAATAAAAGGGCTGGGTTATTTGCTCTTGAAGGCTAATTTATTCATGTCTTTTTAGTGACTGCTTTAGTTTTCTAGGCTTACACTTACTTCAGTGACACTAATAAAATAGTAAATCCTGGGGTTGGAGTGGAATGAAACTGTTCTTTTACCTGATGTAACTCTTACCTTACTCATTCACAGGATCTAGTGAAAAGCCATTTGATGTATGCTGTAAGAGAAGAGGTGGAAGTCCTGAAGGAACAAATAAAGGAATTAGTTGAAAGAAACTCTTTACTTGAACGAGAAAATGCACTGTTGAAATCTCTCTCAAACAATGATCAGTTATCCCAACTTTCAACCCAACAGGCCAATCCTAGTAGCACTTCACAAGCGCAAACAGTGATAGCACAGCCTCCGCAGCCAACGCAACCTCCACAGCAGCCGAATGTCTCCTCAGCATAAAGCTTTCTCGCCTCCATTGAAACACAAGCCCGAGAGCAGTCTGTCCTTGTGTGCCACTGATGTTCTTTCCACTTTATATGAAAGCGAGTAGCCATGCTTCTGTTGTATGTTTGGCCTTTTCAGTATTAGACAATCATTCTACAAGAGCTGTCCCTCACTGGTGTGTCCCAAAGTGCAGTTGGTGTCTGTTATGTCATCAGTGCACAAGGGAAGTCATAGAAGGAGTTACTAATGCAGAGAATGCATTCGCTTGGTGTGCAGGAGTGAGGTCTTTAAGAGCTTTGGTGGCTTTGCAAGGTTTCCATGTCCCATGGATTACTTTGAGCCTTGCTGTCTGGTAAGAAGTAACAATTCATCTTCAGAGCCACTGTTCTTTCAATATAAGTAACATTTGCCTACATTAGTTTCATTTATTTGTTTTATTTATTACAGGGCTGCTATTTTCATAATGTACATGAACAATGTCACAGAACTTTTTAATTTTTTTTTTAATAAATGTATGTATCAAATGATAGATGGGATTGCGTTTAATAGATAAAATGTTTAGGCAATAATTGAACAAAAGAATCCTGGCATATTTCTAACACTAATGGCAATTTACCTTTGGTATTTATTTACGGTAGTAAAGATCCAGCTTGAATGTAAATTTTGTATAGAGTGTAAGTATGAAGACCATAGTGCATCTGTACAGGTAGTCACCAGTTATTGTGATATAATAAATAATCGATGGGCTATTTTGATGAAGAAAACTTTGCTCATTTCTGTTTCTACTTTCTAATAGAGAGAAATTGCCATGATTCCTCTGCTTTTTGACATTTCGTATAAATTTTTTTTTCTTTGGGTGGGAATAAAAAGCTGTGAAATTGTTCAACCTACTTTGTAACCAAAGAAGCAAAGCTGTGTAATTGAGTTGTTTTGTTTGTTGTTTTTTTATTTTGTTTTATAATGCACATTCTTTATGTATTTTTATTTAGTGTTTTCTCATTCACAACTTTCTTTGCTGTCTAGCATGATCTGCATGACCTATAATCTTTGAACCACTTTCGTACCTCATGTTTTTATCCAGCACTCTTATTGTAATATGTAATAGTCTGTGAACAATGTCAAATAAAAAAGAAAGAACAGCTGGAGTTGGTGGAGCTGAGCTAGTGTGCTATGCACTAGTTGTTAAAAAAATAAATGAAGTGAGCCATCTTTTGTTCATTTAAAATGGTGTTTTGAATTTCGTATGCAGAAAACGTTTTGTTACATTGCAGATTTTAATGTATTTAATAAATGCAACATGCAGATTAAGTGCAGTGTATACTGAGTATTTAAATTAAAAATGTACATTTCATAAATACAGTTTCAAGAGAGACCATCATTTGTGTAAACTAACAGTGTGTCAAATTGATGTATAAATATATATATTTTAACACATTTTTCTGAAATTAAACTGCAGTTTTGTTGAATTTTTTGGCTGTAGAAGTTGTTACAGTGTAACTAAATTTACTAGCACTTTTTCCTTAGCAAAATGGAGAAAGGTAACCTCAGGCAGCCAGTAATAGAATAATGCCAAAATTGTAACTGCTTCTCTTGCAACAGACTAATTTTCTTTTATTCTAGGAAAGGCATAAATTCTGATGCTGTCAGTGACCCTGTTGGTTTTGCGTTTGCACTGAGATTATGTATACACACAGATACAGAGACATTAATGTTTGGCTGTGTGCTGGGGTGTTGAGAAAGTTTGGTATGTTCTTGTGTTAAAACCAAGAATTCGCTTTTGAGGAACACCTATAGTAGTAAATGGCACTGTGTGCCTTTCCAGTGGGCACCATGGGGTGCTCAGTTCCCTGCAGTCTTTACCTGTTCTGTCAGGTGGCCTGCAAATGTTTGCTGCAGTATCTTATCCTTGTATGTGTCTAACTCTAGTCAGGTTTGTGTGTTAGGTAAAACAAAACAAGAGAAACAACACTGGAAACTTCAAGGTTTGGTGTCTTAAGGTCTTGAGGAAGCATCTTGGTCCTGTGTTCCGGAAACAGAGCATCACGCCTTCCTGGTAAGCATCAGTTCATGGCACTCTTCAAAAAAGGCACATAAGTGTATGTATGTATGTGTGTGTGTGTGTGTATAAATATATAGGTACTTGCTGAAGTAATATATTAAAACAATCTTCAGTTTTAGCTTAGTGCTCTTGGCCTGCTATAAGCAAACACCTGTGCTGCTGTAAATCCTCTAGTGAAATAAGAGCTTTGCATGACAACTGGAAAACAACACATTTCAGTAGTGTAGTGTGTTTTCCCTCCAGTGTGATCAATAGCTCATTGTGGCTATACTGTAAGAATGTGTCTCGTAAAGTAAGTAAAAATGATAGATCAGGGAACTTTTGGGAACAGAAGTCATTTAGATGAATAGTTGATTAAAACTATGGAGGGAACTGACTATAGAGGGAGGTAGCTAACTGTCAGTTTTCTCGTAATGAGTGAAATGGAAAGTAGGCATTTGAAGCATGACTGGAGTTGCTAAGGTCCTGCTGATGGCAGCAGCTGAGAATCAAACCAATGAGAAAATGGTCCCAAGCACTTCAGCGTTCCCATGGAGCTGGCGTCTGTGTGTCTCCTCTCCCTTTTTGTAACACTTGTGACCTTGTGGAGTAGTCCTTGTGTGAGCATTGCCACACAGTGACAGATCTGCTTACACACAGGTATTCTGGAGAAGCTTTTTATCCAAAAGAAAGAAGTATTTAGTAAATCTGTGGAAAATGGGAGAACAAAGATTAAAATGATCCTTTTAGAAATCCTTTGTTTCACTCTACTGCTGTCGGGTTCAGTTTTTCAGGTTTTAGTTTTTTCCTAGTGATAAGTTGTGTTCAGCTCTAAATGCCAACTCAGGTGCAAGAGCTGTGCAAGAGCACTACAAAATGGCAGAAGAGGGTCTTTGAACTGCTGCTGTCTCTTCCTGAGAGGGTAGTCTGAGGCTGCTGCCTGAGGAGAGAAAGGATAGTTCCTGAATGTGAGAAGGTCATCTTGATGTCCTTTGCAGGTTTGATTTGAGACAGGGAAGAAAGGCTTGTTGACAAATGACTATGTTCCTGTCGGGCTGTATTGGCTGCTGCACGGCTTTGTGCACATGGTGTCAGTCAGCTTCCTGCCACTGTAAAGCCTTTCTTTGTTGTCCTTACGTGTGCTGGCACCAGCGATGTCAGTCAACCGCCCTTCTGCATTTGCATCACATGAGGCTGCCTGCTCAGGGGTCTGGCTGGTGCTGCCACAGCTCCCTCCGCTGAGTGGCAGTTGATTGCTTTTGGGTGTTTTGTCAGGAAAATGACTGTGTCCAGGGAGCTGCATGTGAGAACGGGCTCTTAAGATGCGATGCTGTTCTCCGTGGGAAGTGGTGCTGTTGCGTATTCCTGTAATGCATATCTTTGAAATTATTCCATGACTTCAGTGTAACAAATAGAGAAGTAATTCAGCTACTGGACTTGCTGTGCTTTGAAACAGGGCTGTCTATGATTGCACGTGTATATGCAGTTGGGTGGGAGGGAGAGTGCAACTGTAGTGTCTCTGCAGCAGAAACACACAAGGGCAGAGGGGTCTCAAAATGATGACACTTAGCTTCGTGGTGCCTCTGAATTAGCCCTTGCATCTGAGAGAGGATGTGGCAGAACATGCAGGGAAAGGCTACAAAGACAATGGAGGATGCAGGGGAAATGCTTCCTGAGGAGCCCACACAGGCTGTGACCTTGACTTGAAGTGAGCAGGCTCAGGGAAGGCTCAGAGGTGGTGGGTGAGGTGAACACAGAACTTGTCAACCAGATCTCACCTGCAGGGACCACATATCTTTTCATGTAGCGGAAACTGAACTTTGGAGCTGGTTGCCACAGGGTGTTGAGGCAGGTGGGATGTTCTTAAAGGCGTTAGGCAAATTCTAGGCCAGCAGGTTGATGAAAAGGAATTTATGCTCTTACCACCCTACACAAGGCTTCAGGGTACGAGGACAGGAGCAGGAGGAGAATGAGCTGTAAAGGGTGGCTAAAGTTCCCTGTCTTCCTTCATAGCATTTCCTGCTGCAGCTGCTTGACACAAAGTGCTGGGCCAGTTGGGGCCTGTCAGAGCTTTGCTCTTCTATTACAAGCTCAATGTTTTGTGGGCTACAGTAAGATTTCAGTCGAGCAATAGTCTAGCAATAAGTCCCCTCGAGTTTGAGCAAATTTCATTGCCTGTCTATTGACATGCCCCTGGTATAACAAGTTGCCTAGGTCACTGAGGTGTGGGACCAACGTGACTGTGGGGGGAAGTGGCCTCTGCTCCACGAGGGCTAAGGCGAGGATTGCACATTGGATGCGGAAGGAGCCTGCTGCCTTCCCGGCGCTTGTGCTTTCAGTGGAAGAAGGCTCCTCTTCGGGACACCACCAGGGGCTCAGGGGCCTGAGGCTGCTGCAGGGTGGGG